CTGTTGCGACCCTTCAGGGACCGAAGCAACACGCCCAAGGTCTTGATTCTTCTCTAGGCTTTATTGTCTAATCTCTCATGGTGGTTACAGCAGTTGTCGGGAAGCTCTCCTCCCTCCCGGCGGGCTCCCTTATATTCAGTCACCCAACCAATCCGGGACAGTATCATGCGTGACCTTTAAGCGGATAGGTGTCACGCGCCACTCTAAGCAGGCAGCACGAGCTGTGCACGGGTACGGAAGTCTGCTGGGCCAATCCCCAACAGGGAAGAGGGCGTTGTCCAGCTAGAGTGGGGCTCAGCCTCGGCCGTAGGCTGGGCCCCCACAGATTCCAATCCAAAACTATTAGAACTAATATTGGAATTCAATAAAGTTGCAGTATACAAAATTAAAACACACAGAAATCTGTGGCAGTCCTATACACTAACGAGGAGCTAGCAGAAAGAGAAATCAGGAAAACAACTCCATTCACAATTGCATCAACAAGAATAAAATACCTAGGAATAAACCTAACCAAGGAAGTGAAAGACCTATACCCTGAAAACTACAAGACACTCTTAAGAGAAATTAAAGAGGACACTAACAAATGGAAACTCATCCCATGCTCTTGGCTAGGAAGAATTAATATCTTAAAAATGGCCATCCTGCCTAAATCAATCTACAGTTCAATGCAATGCCTATCAAAATACCAACAGCATTCTTCAATGAACTGGAACAAATAGCCTTAAAATTCATATGGAACCACAAAAGACCCTGAACAGCCAAAGCAATCTTGAGAAGGAAGAATAAAATGGGGGGGGGATCTCGCTCCCCAACTTCAAGCTCTACTACAAAGTCACAGTAATTAAGACAATTTGGTACTGCCACAAGAACAGACCCACAGACCAGTGGAACAGGATAGAGAGTCCAGATATTAACTCAAACATATTTGGTCAATTAATATACGATAAAGGAGCCATGGACATACAATAGGGAAATGACAGCCTCTTCAACAGCTGGTGTTGGCAAAACTACATCAAAAAGAATAAAATACCTAGGAATAAACCTAACCAAGGAAGTGAAGGACCTTACAGGTACATGTAAGAGAATGAAACTGGATCATTGCCTAACTCCATACACAAAAGTAAACTTGAAATGGATCAAAGACCTGAATGTAAGTTCAATAGGACTTCCAGTGGCCTTAAAATTTCCAAGTGAATTAGATGAAGCAAGTAGGTTCTATCTAAGAAAGTCTTGACAGCATACGGTAACTAAGTGACTAGATACTTTTCCCAGATGACAATTGTAGAGAGAGCAGATCAACACATTATAGGTTCTGTCTCCTAAAAAGTAATGTTGAAAGAAAATACCCGGAAAGTTTTAAAGAATGTAATCTTTCATTTAGCTACTACATATAGGGGAAAAATATAGAATATCAGAACTCAGACTTCATAGAATTCTCTAGTCAAACACCTTCAGATAAATTTAGGGAATCTGAAGCCCAGGGACAGGAACATGCTTAAACATGGTCACACAGCACATCTGGGGTTAGAATCCTATTCTTCAAATATAGCACCATTTTTATTACACCAGTGCTTGAAAACTTGTGTCCTGGAGTTGGATTCTATATTTAGTTAGTCCAGCAAAATTTTTTAAAAGTTGATCCAACATTTAAAAAGCAGAATATTGCACAAGAAAATATGGATTTCCAAACTCCATTGAAAAAAATCAGAAGATCTCGTAAAATAGGTCTATTTCTCCAAATGGCCAGGATCCAGTGGAGCTGAGTAGTGGCTGCCTCTTTTGGAAAGGGCATGTACTCTCCAGTTTGTCATGCTTCCCACCACTCTCTAATACATTAAGTCTGCAGTATCTCTCCTGTAACTTACCAACCAAGCCCCTATAAGCATTTGTGGTTGACCTCCCCTGCCATAAACCTTACTTCATTCTCCCTAACAAAGGACAGAAGCTTCCTTCCCAGGGTTCCCAGGAGAAACATGGGCTAAGGAATAAAATCCAATGTAAGAGGATTGTTTCTTACCCTAACAGTTGTGATAGAATGACTACTAGTTACCTACCAAAAACCCATTTTCCCTTCTTTAGCATGAATGTGCCTAGTCTCCTGTAGTATTAAGAGTGACAAGAAATCAGTTAAAGCTCTTAGGTGGAGGTTCCAGGGAAGATTCTTAAAGTAGAGATAGGTAGCATGCACCATTTTGTTTTTCCCACTATTTGTAATATGGATGTGAAAGCTGGAGTTCCAGTAGCCATTTTTTGACCTTGAGGATGAAAACCATGTACTAAGGATGATGGAACCACCCCACCAGCCCTGGGCAGCCTACCTTTAGATTTTTTAACATGGTAGAAAAATAAAATGTCTTCTATATTTAAAGCACTGTTATATTTCATTTCTGTTACTAGCAGCCAAATGTAATTCCTAATAGATAAAACAAACATGAAAGTCTTAGCTTTGGGGAGGTAAAGATAAATGCTGGGGGAACCATATAATTAGGTCTAACCCTAATAACTGCCCTATATTTTTAAAATACCTAAAAAAATAATAACAGTGGTCTCTCTACCTGCCCCAGGCATTTTATTTCTTTTTCATAAATAATACTCTTTGCCTTTCTGCCTCTAATCTAATATACATACCTGCTCTCCCTTAAATAAATGCCTGCTTACTTGATTCAATTTGATAGACATGTGAGCCTGGCACTGAGCTAGGCACTGGGTATATCCACTTGAATGAGACTCCATCCCAAACTGATTGGGACATCTCCTGCCTAATGGATGGTTAAGAGTATAAACTCTGGAGTTAGATCACCTGGGTTCATATTCTAATTCCACCACTTCTTAGCTGTGGAACCTTGGAATCCTACATAGCCTCTGCATGCTCCATCTCCTTGTCTATAAAATGGAAATAGTAATACTCTCTACTTCAGAAGGGTCATTGTGAGGATTAATTGAAGTTAATACAGATAAAACACTTAGTATAGTGCCTGACACATGATGTAGTAAGCAGAATAAAGTTCCCCAAAGATGTCTAGATCCAAATCCCTGGAACCTGTGAATATGGCAAATTAACTGACAAAGGAGAATTAAGGTAGCATATAGAATTAAAGTTGCTCATCACTGACTTTAAATAGAAGATTATTCTGGATTATGTGGTGGTGGGCTTAATGTCATCACAAAGGTACTTAAATGTGTAAGAGGGAAGCAGAAAAGTTGGTGTCAGAATGATGTGATGTGATAAAGACTTGATCAGCTATTTTTGGCTTTGAAGATGGAAGGTAGCTGTAGGGAAAATGGAAGTTCCATGGCCAGGATCCTCACCTGACCGTAGTCTGCTTGCTCACTGTGCATGTGCAATGCTAGCAGGTGCAGGCTTACACATGTGTTGGCAATGGGCTATCATTGACTCTATAGAAAGAGCTCTGGCCAGCCTGGGGCTTTGAAGCAGCAGAGAGGCCTGGAGGCAAAGCTGGAGATGGCTTGCTGCATGCAGGCTGCCCCAAAGGCAGTTGTGATTCCAGCACTCAACCTGCCACCATGAGAACAAAACTCAGTATAAACCCTTTTACCCCTAACATTCCTTTGTTGTTACTCAGTCTCACTGATTCCAGAGTGAACTTGCCCAGGGCTGAAACCTTTAGGCAAGACAGAAGCCATGAGCTATAGAAGCCTGCCAGCCTCCATTAAAGAATGCAGTCTTGCTGACACCTTAATTTTATCTAGAGAGACACATTTTGGACTTATGCCTTCCATAATGTCTAAGATAATAAACACTGTGTTAGGTCATCAAAATTTACAGTAATTTGTTCAGCAGCAACAGGAAACATACATATGGTAAGTGCTCTATAAGTGATAAATAAAAACTAACTCTTAATCTAAATATGTATTGGTGAAATAGTGAAGATATTTTTCATTTGATCTATGCACACTATGCCTATTTTACAGTTGGGGCAACTAAGATCCAGAAACAAGTAAGTGACTTGCCAAAGCTCATCCAGTGAGTTAGTGGCAGGGTGCTTTCCCCTTACTTGCTACCTGCAACTGGCTGTGTTTGTGACTTGTCTTCCCAGCACCAGCAGTTTTTTCAGGCAATTTTGCATACAGACTCCTACATCTATTGTAACTATAGTGTAGAAATTGGTTGCTAAGCCATGCAATTGGTTGCTAGGCTTCCTCCACCATTTCAGGCCCTAATACACATCAGTAACTGGAAGTTAATAATCTGCCAGCAAATTAAATTTGGTGAAAATTCAGATCAGAAACATGTTAATCAACAACCAGGTGATCCAGGCTTATCTCAGAGGACTGCATGACCTTCTGCTGAATATACCCCCAGTGTGGGCTGCTGCTTCCCCATCAGGTTCATGAACTCTTGGACCTCTGTTAATCTAAAGGGGACCACACATATTTCTTTGAGCTCCTACTGAACATCTTCATGCCTTTGCCTGAGGTTTCTGTCTGCCTCAAATCCCCTAAAATTCTGTTTCCCACAGTGTTGTAATTAAGGGGAGATTATAGTTCATGGAGGCCTTACTGTGTAGGGCAGGTGTTCTCATCCCTGGCTATAGATGAGAATCGCCGAAGAGTTTTGCAAAGACACAGATGCTGGAACCCCACCCAAGAGATTCTGATTTAATTGGTCTGGGTGGAGCCTAGACATATGCATTAAAAAAAAAAAAACCTCCCAGGTGATTCTCATATGCAGCCAAGATTGAGCACCTATGAGGTAGCGGTTCAGAATATGCAGCTGGAGCTCAAAGCCTAGCTCTGGTACTCACTATTTGTCCAACTCTAGGCAAGCTGCGTGACCCCTCTGGCTATGGCTTCCACATCTGTAAAACAGGGAAGGCCATAACACTGTCACAAGTATTAAATGAGTTAGTGAATGTGAAACATTTAGAACAAGATTTATAAGCAATTAATATCAGAGCTAAATAAAATTATCCATTTTTAGGACTTATAACTACTCCTGGCACATTGTAAGTACTCAACAATTGCTAGCTATTACTACATCAACAAAATATTTTAATAGATGCTTATTTTACACATGTATTTAAGAATAGATAACTAAAATAAATTTATAGCACCTTATTAAAAATGTTATCAGACTTTTCAAGTGAGTCACTTTAAGGCAAAACAGTAAATAAAATGGTGCCTATAAGGCAAAAATTCTGAAATTTCAGAAATACTGCCCTAATCTCTTCTCATGTCCCCTTCCTTCCACTAATTCCATATACCCAATCCTACCTCTTCCACGTTCAGTATAGCAGAGATGTCACCTTCGTTGGAAAGTCTCCCCTAATTTCCTCATCTAGAAATACTTCCTCTTGCTCTAATTCTCAGTTTCTTTCTCTTATGGGCATCTCAAATGTGGCTATCAAAAAACTCTTAATTTTGCTGATTCCCCTCTCCCACCTTATTTTTCCCACTTCTTTAGCCAGCAGTGCCACAATTCGCTGAATTGATGCGGCCAAAAACCTAGCAGTAACTTTTGATTTCCCACTTACCCTTACACCCCTATCCAGTTCATCAGCAAAGCCTTTTAGTTTTACCTTCTAAATACATCTAGACTCTGACCAGTTGGTCTAAACCAGTAACCAATAGCTTCTCCCCCCCGGATTTTGTAGCGGCTTCCTCACTGGGTCTCCATCTCTCTTGGGCCTTAAGGAGACAATTCTCCCAGAAACCAGAGAGTCATTTCAATCATAACACTGCCCAGCTTAAACCCCTCCAGTAGTGTCTCATCACAGAACAAAACCCAAACTCCCTATCCTGGCCCCCAAGGCCCTGAGCCTTTGCCACCTGCCAAGTTCTCTAAGTGTTAGGTTTACCTACCACTGCTCCCTTCCTCCAGTTGTATCACTTGAGCATCCATAATGATCCTTATCCAAAATACAAAGGGTAGCCATTAAAAGGGTTTGTTTAGATTTACATTTCAAAAAGGTCACTGAAGTTTGTGAGCAGATCTAGAGAGACTGTGAAGATAAACACCTAGAGAAGATATTGTTGCCATTGGCTTGGGTGGGGAAATGCCAACTCCAACACTTATTAAATATTTTATAACATTGGGTCCCACTCTTGGCACTTGGTGTGCACCAGGCACAGTTTTTGTTTGTTGTTGTAACTCACATAATCCTAATTCTGTTCCTTTTATCAAATGGGGACTTAAGAAATAGAATCCATGATTCTCAGGATTATTATGAGGATTAAATATAAATACTTATTTGTAATGGATTTTCTCACAGTACTTGACACGCAGTCAGAAGTCAATAAATGTTGATTATTATACTTACCAACCCAGGCTTTAGCCTCAGGAAAGAATGTAAGTGGATGCATTTAGGCAGTCCTGTATGAGGGATGAGCACAATGGACTCTGGAACCACATCAACTGGGCTGTAAATCTTTGCCCGACCATTTACTAGCTTTAGGACCTTGGACATAATATGCAACCTCCTTATGCCTCATTTGTCTCATGTGTAAAATTGTATCTACCTCATAGGATAGTTGTATTAAGTGGACTAATATATGTAAATTATTTAGAACAGTGCTTAGCCCATAGTAAATGGGTTTATAAACTCAATAAGAATTGAACTCAATAAATGATAGCTATTATCACTATCGTTCCTGTCTGAGGCATGTCTGCCCAAGTCTCCTAAGTCAGTGATTTTGTTTGTTATTTCTTAATATGCTCATAGATTCAAGACTCTTATGGACTCAACTCATTTCAGTTAGCTGTCATCCTTTGTTTTTGTGTATGTTTATTCTTTTTTTTTACTTGTTACTACTTAACCAGTGGGAGGACTTTTCAGGCTAGGTTAACTGTCATTAAAGAACACTAACCCACAGAACTCTGAAGAAACTCCTCCTGAAAACATGTAGTATAGTGTTTACAAGCATGCATTGCACAAACTACCTGGGTTCAAAGCCCAGATCTGCTACTTACCAGATGTGTGGCCTAGAGCAAGTGATTTCACCTCTGTACATGATGATGATGATGATGATACTAGTACTTATCCACTAGGACTGTTGTAAGAATTAATTCATGTAAAGTTTGTAGAATAGCATCTGTCATGGATTAACACTACTACTAATGTTGGCTATCATCATTAAAAGCACCTAGCCCAAATACTTGATATATGACCATTATAGTTAGTATTACTGTTATAACTCTCATGTGTATATGACTTTATAATTTTTTACTCACTTTGACATTTATTATCACATTTGAATTATACCACAGTCCTGCCAGACAACCTAGGGAGGAATTATCAATTCCAGTTTACAGATGGGGAAATTGAGATGGAACTGGACTCTATTCACATTTGATGTTTTGCATGGCCATTTTTTGATTTTACATGGAAATCCCAAAACTCCAACATAAGAATAAAGGTTACTTACCACAAGTCACTGAATTATCTATGATTCACTTAAGAAGACTGACTAAATAAAATTAGCTGTGACTTTATTAAATATCAGCTATAACCTAATTACATGCAAGTGCTGCAATAGTCAAAAGTAACATAGAACTGTGGAATACTTCACTGTCTGGGAAATTAAAGGTGTGAGTGAGAGAAAGAGAGACCGTCAAATGTCAGCCAGAATACAGGTTGGTGCCAACCTCTAGAGATAATCCTAGCTATTTAAGTCACTACATAAATGTCACCAAAGATATCCACACCTTAATTTCCACAGCTTGCATTACAACTACAACCAAACCCCATCAAAATATGCCCCAGATACTATTCACCCACCCCTACCTGTACCAGTACATTTCATCTTGCATTTCTCCTAGCAAAATGTTTTCACATCCATTTGGTCCCTAACTTGAGGGTCTATACAGGATGAGCATTATTGTATTGCACACATGAAGAAACAGGGGATCCCAATAGGGGCAGTGACCAGAGCAAGATTTTAACTTAAAACTTATACAGTACTTCCAGTCACAATTCTGGTAGCTTTATCTGGAGGAAGTTACTGGATCCTCATAACAATCCAGTGAGGTAGGTATTACAGGTTTCCTCCAAAAATAGTGTTCCTATAAAACCTGTCATAAGTCAAAATGGTATAAAGGAAAGAAGCAATTATCATTAATTTACATGGAAAATTTTGAGCATACACAGACCCAAAACATAACCTATCTTAAGCTTTTCTGATACCTTAGGACACATCTTGCTAACGATGCACAAAGTAAATCTAGATGAAGCACACATGCTCACAGACACAGTTCAAAGCTATGGCAGCTTCGTGCTGAGAAGCTGAGTGTGGTTCCTGGGGGAAGGAGCCTGGAGGGGCCACTCTTGCTCCTTGGGTGCATGTTGCCTCTATAAATGGTTCATTGAAAAACAAAAGCTGAAATCTATTTTTACTTTCCACCTTTTTTCATAAAAGCAAAAATCCTCTATGAATTTCTTTTGGTTAGAGAAAACAAGTACTAATGTAGGTCTTCTGTAAAAGCGAAGTAGTGTAACAAAAACTTTAAAAAAAATAAGGGTTACTTGTATTATCATCTCTGATATACAGAGAAGGATAGAGAGGCCCAGAGACTTTACCTCTATTGCCCAAGACCACACTACTTGGAAGTGACAGAGGCAGTCTGCAAACACAAGCAGTTTGTTTCCAGAACCTATACACTCTTTACTGCTAAGGTTCACAACAAGCAAATGACAGGGAGAAACCAGCAATCTTGCCATGGGAAAGAAAAAAGGCTGTTTTATATAGGGCCCTATCTCCCACTGGAATGAAGGCTGGGGGACCTGACTGTCAGTGGGGAAACAGGTACTGAAAGACCAGAGAGAAAGGAGTTAGGGGATAAAGAACTTGAACTCAGGCTACTAAATCACCTTGGCATTTGTTGCCATTCTGGTTGCCTGGATCTCTATTGCCTCTACATTATGCTGGCTTAACACTGCCTCAGCACATTTCTGTGAAAACTCCAGATCAGAATGATAAGGACTTTCATGTGATTTGCCAAGGATTAACACTGGATTTCTCCCCTCAGAAGGATTTGCTGAAATTCTGTTTAATTTGTACACACACACATGCATCACACCACATCACATCATAGAACTGAAGCTCTGCCACCCACCTCAAATCTCAAAGAAATAAAAATAAACACCTTCAGGGATCACAGGAAGATGGCGGCATGAGTAGTTCAGAGGAAATCTCCTCCCCAAAACATAATATTTATGAAAATACAATAAATACAACTATTCCTAAAAGAGACACAAGTGGATACAGTACAACAGCCAGGATACATCTACATCTGCGAGAACTAAACATCACACAAAGGGGGTAAGATACAAGCCGCGGCCAGGTGGGACACGAATGCTCCCCAACCCCAGAACCAGGCAGGAAGAAAGGAGTCAGAACAGGGAGAGAGTGAAAGCCCAGGACTGCTAAACAACCAGCTCTAGAAATACCCACCTGGAGCGGAGACACAAGGTGCACAGGGTGTTGGATATTACAGAAACAGAAAAGCAAAACCTGTGGGCAGGTCCCTGCAACCTGCGCCACTGAGACAAAAGAAAAGCGAGTGCTTTCTGCAAATCTTGAAGAGACAGGGACCCAATAGCTGGACAAAGTCATACCGGCACACTTAGCCAGCAGCTGGGAATACTGGGGAACCATAGGCGACCTAAACCCTGGGGAGGCAGAGCAGCTCTGAAGCCTTTCACCGCACTAAGCAGCTTGCCAGTCGTTCCTCCAACTGGTGCAGAACCTGACACACCGGCCCAGTAGAGTAGAGTGGCAGCACATGCCAGGGGCGGTGGCGCTGGAAGGGACCAGGAGCAGATCGCGTGCACCAATGGCACCAGAGTGGACCAGGAGAGGC